AAATTAATATAGATGAGAAGACCAAGAGTACATGTATCAGCGCCGACAGTTTAGACTCAACTGAGGTTCCGTGACCAGGAGTGCATGGCAGAGGTGAGATCAATTGAGTGACCGACCCACATTAGTGGAATTTCTGCGAGGTGAGGAAAGGCAAGGTCAGGTTCCAGGCAACCCCCCCTGGATTGTACATGTACAGTGTGTGTGTGTGTGTATTCAAATTAAACCCAATTTGTTGGAATCATAGTGACCGTAAGTTGTGGCATATAAGTCGACATTTTAAGCTTGAAAAAATCTCTCCAAAACCAGAGGTCGACTTATACCCCGAGTATGAAATGTGAAGCTTTACCACAGTGGTAAACAAGCGGAACAGCCTGCCTAACACTCGCTGTGCATCACTTAGTGCCACGCCATTTCCAACAGCTGATGCAGTCTGTGTAACGGACCCATAGTTTCGCAGCTGGCCACGTGATGTTGGTGGCGCCACTGGCAGTTTGTTTATACCAGCTGATGCAAATGGGGGATTGTAAGCCAGGTGGACCATAATGTCCTACTATCATACTGTATACAGCGGTACTATCGAAGTGCTATACTGGTATGCTGTGTAAACAATATATTGGATGTGCTGATTTTGGCTTGGTGTTTACCAGAGTTCTAACGAAGATAACTCAACTGAAGATTTTCAGTGGTGTCTTGATGAAAGTGGAGTGGCCTTATTACACATTTTCGCCATAGGCTATATCCACATTTCAGTACTTGCCTAGCCTATGTTTGAGCCTTGGTGGGGTCGACTTATACGAAGAGTATAGGCCTAAACCTGAATATTTGAACTAAAAATCTTGGTCGACTTATATGCCTCAACTTACGGTAAGTGAGGTTTTGTAGTGGACACACTCCCCTACAACTGATCTCCTGTCTTCGCCTCAGCCAATCAACAGCGAGTTCCATATCTCAGGCCCCACTTCTGAACTGCTCGCTGATTGGTCACTTGCCGTCCACTCCTCAGCCAATCAGCAGCGAGTTCCAGACCAAACTCTCTTCAGCCAAATCGCTTGCCGACAGGCCTGTTGCCGCCTCGCCTCAGCCAACCAGCAGCGCCGCACACTCCGTTTCTTGATCCCGCAGAATCATATAAATACCCCCCTGCCTCGCTGTAAAGGTCAGACTACACTACGCTCTTAAGCAGAGAAGACCTCCTCTAATCCTCTAAAGAAGCTCCTCCACAGCAACTCCCCAGCACCTGATTGTTCTGTACATATAATATATTTAAAGAAAACTCCATTGTGAGTTCCTTCCTCACCTCCATCCTGAGTGCGAGATCTCCTCCATGTATGTATGTATGTATGTGAGCCTAACAAAGAGAAAGTCGACATAACAATGAAAAATTAGACAACTGGCCACATACAATATGCTACAGAGGACTATGGTGCAAAATTTGCCAAAATACAGTAAAGAAAAACTGGGTTTGCACCCAAACTTATGCCATAAAATAACTAAATTTAAGAACGAATAAATCTCAAGTATACCGTTACAGTACAGTAAAGCCTCGAATATCGACGGCAATGTGTCCTCCAATATTCCAGTGTAAGGTGAATCATCGTATCATGAATCATTAATTTCCAAAAAATAAAGCAATAATAATGAGATGTGTGACCGTTTCATATCTTTGGTGTGGCTTTTTACCCTCTTTTCCCCCCCAAAAAAATAAAATCAATGAAAAATAAAAACTATTTTCTTTAAACAATGTTTATGAATGCACCTTATACAATATAAATCAACAATAAAATGGTCACACAAGAGGAGATGGGACACCATTGTTGTTGTCAGTGTTTACACCCATGACGGTGGTTTTCCATCTGAAACTGAAGAAAATAAGACCCTGGTTGTTGCTGTAGTAAAATTACTGTAAAAAAAAATGTATGTATTAATTAATGTTATTTAATGTACAGTAGAAGTAACCATTGATGGTAAAGACAAAAAAAGTGAGTGATAGCGAAAGGAAACGTCATTTATCTTATTAAGAAAAAAAATTCATTATTGTTTATTACTGAATCTCTATTTGATTGAATTAATGTTCATGTAAGCAAAATGAACAATACAATTCATTAATACTATGTAGAATATTAAAACCTGTGATGATGGTTCTATATATGAAACTGAAGAAAATAAGACCCTGGTTATAGCTGTAGCAAAATTAATGTAAAAAAAAAGTACGTATGTCTTAATCAATGTTATTTAATGTAAATAGAACAATAGAAGTAACTCCTGATGATAAAGAAAAAAGTGAGATGGATGGCATATGACCAACGTATGCATTAGACGGCATTGTTTTCGTTAGTGTATATAAGGACTTAGGCTATGATATAGTGGGATTTTAAACATTGCTTTGTAAGTATGGTATGCACACGGCATGTGTTCCGACTTACAATTTACAATTGTTCTTATTACTCAAGTTGACAAAAAATTCGTGATGAAGCCACTTTTTCAAGAACACATCCATTCCGTAAAGCGTGGATCCAGTGTAGTGTACTAGCAAAATAAAATAATTACTACCCATTCTTAATGGTTAATACAGTATATTAAAAAAATTTACCAAATGAATGAGCATCATTGTAAAACTACAACACTGCACAAAATGTGCATTGCATCACCCAACCACACAGATGCATTGTGTGTACCAGTGGAACGAATGTTCAAAAGTCAAAAATATAATACAGTGGGGTATGCTATAACGAACGGATCCTACTACGAATATTCCTATAACGAACGGTTTTACCTATAAAATTGAGAATGCTATAACGAACGAAACTCCTACAACAAACATAATTTAATTTTTTTTTTTTTTTTTTAATAATTTATTGTTTTTTATTACCAGTATTAATGATATTCTTTATTTCAGAGGTTTAGATGCATATTTATGCACTTTTTTAAAATTTTTACAATTTTATATTATATTTTTCAGTGTTAAGTGGTTGTATTTGGGGGCCTGGAACGGATTAATCCTATAACGAACAAGGTTCTAGAACCAATTAGATTCGTTATAGCATACCCCACTGTATTCATATGAGCGGATTTTTGTAATGCTGGATTTTTGAAAACCGAGGATTACCCGTAACAAATTCTAAATACGGTTTTGTAGTTCAGTAGGATCCACGTAGGCAATGGTTTGGGCCAATGTATTTTTGCCTTTCTGTAAGAATTTTGTGAAATTTGTAATTCAGTGCCAAAAACTCTTAAAATTATTGAATACACTCACAAGGAAAGCAATACTATAGTCTGAATAAGATGGCATCTCTCAAAGTCATGGGTGGGAAGCACTTGTGCCAATTTGGAGACCCATCACTACTAGAAACATTAAATATTTCAGAATATTTTCATAAATTTGTCAGTTTCAATGTAACAATTGTGAGAAATTCAGTGATTTTCTGGCAATTTGGATGGAGCGACATTTTCAATTTGGTTTAACAATCCTAGAAGCTATGAAGCAATATGAAACTAATTACACTTTTCATTTTCTTTTACATATGTAGCTGTTCATTTTATTACTGAGTATCTATATATTTATATTGAAGAAAGAGGGGTTGTGTGGTATATCGAGGATAACATGATAATAGCATCTAGCATCCTCTCTCTGGTTCCCTTGGCCTTTTTCTGAGGTAAAGGTCATGATAATTTTCAATAACTATCCTCTCCATATCTAGTTCTACTTTACAATACAGTCAACCCTCGCTTTACGCGGTCCCACTTTACGCGGTACCCTGCCAAAACCGGAATGCTCACTTTCCACGGTGTGTGTACCCTTTAACGTGGAGAGCTGCGCGAGCAGGGTGCGCACAAGGTCGCCCAGTCATCAAAACATTACCAAGTTCTTCACCCGCCACCCACCACAGCCGGCCCAAGTCAGTGATAGTGATAATGACAGTGAGGATATGGACTTATATGGACTTTGAGGGGTTTGACAAAGAGGCCCTGCAAGCCTCTGTGGTGGATAGTGATACAATTGATACAAGTGATACAGGTGAGGGCCAATAATCTGCCCTCTGCCTCGGAACCAACCCCCCATCCCCGTGTGCCCAGCCATCTTTTCTACTAATGTAAGTGTTAAAAAACCTAATATTATTGATATTTCTCTCAATTATTAATTGTGTGTGCATACCATCATAAAATTAAGAAGTTATTTTTACTACAACGTAGGTATTGTGTCTGAAAAAGTGGAGTTTGGGGGTCAGCCCGGTCTCTATTTCAATTAATCCCATATGTTATGTTGTTCACTTTACGTGGGCCACCGTGGGTTCAACTGACCGCGTAAAGGGAGGGTTCACTGTATACTGTACTATAATTTTAATTAAAGCAGTTGTAGGCCTAATAATAACTTTGTCCTTTCTAATCTTTGTGGTGCACAAAATTTTTCACATTAAATAATTACTTGTTGATAGCGTATTACAGTTTTTGTCCATTACTGGTATTCCAAGCATTATTCATGGCACAGTGTGGTATATATACCGGGTAGTGAATGGCAGCAGTGAATTGGAAATTATTGTTTAAATTGATTCGTTGTAGTATAATGAGATTGTGAACTTGGATACCCCCCCCCCCCCAAAAAAAATAAATATATATATATATATATATATATATATATATATATATATATATATATATATATATATATATATATATATATATATATATATATATATATATATATATATATATATATATATATATATATATATATATATATATATATATATATATATATATATATATATATATATATATATATATATATATATATATATATATATATATATATATATATATATATATATATATATAATTTAGTATCTTGAACATACCTTAATACAATACACACTGTAATACTCCGAGAAAAGGACAAGGAAATCATAATATAATCAATAGATGTTACCTTTTACCTTTACTTCTGCCAGCCTTATGTTCATTGAACCCGCTAATTCAGGGTACTGTTCAGAAACAATATTACCTTGGGAGAAATTCTTTAATTTCAACTGGTAAAAAGAGAAAATGGAACATGGCATATTATAAAATCAGTAGTATCATTTATAAACTGAACATCATCAACACGTACAATAGAATCCCAGTTATCCAACACCTACAGGGATTGAGAGGTGCCGGATAAAGAGTTTTTCTGGCAAGTTGAAACTTACTCTTAGGATCCCAATAAATCCTACAATTCACAGTGCTACAGGCTGACCTCACAAATATGTGTCTTCTTCAACACTTATTGCATTCTATATAAATGGTGTGGTTTAGAAATAGATAAGAGAAAATGTAGTAAAACCCTCTTAATCCAGACTAATTAGATGGAAATCCAGCCCATATTAAGCAAATTTCTGGATAAAGCAATATCCGGAGGGAGTTTATTTAATCCGGAAAGTCTGGATTAACGGAGAAAAATCCAGATTGCCATCTGGCGCAGCACACAAACACTATCCCCAGCGACTTTGTTTACAACCCAGCTGTGCTGCTACAACCCTCGGGTGTGCATCTCTTAACTCCTGTGGACTATTTGACTTTGTGGACTAATTACCATGGCTTCCAAAGGCAAGACAGCTTCAAAAGGAAGTCAGAATGGGGCCACAAAAGAAAAACAAGAATTATATACAGTAAACCCTCATTTAACCGACTCTTGAATAACTAAACCACTAATTTCCACAAATTGTTCTTACCTTCAGTTGCCGGCTGCAAACCGACATCTCTTGCTATGTCCACAGCTCAATGTCCTTCAAATCTCTTTACTACATCTAATTTAACTTCTAATGTAACACTTTTCCTCTTTTTTCTGTGACGACAACTAGTTGTGGTGCCTAATGCACGTTTAACACTTTGTTCTAGGGCTCAAATAAATTTATGATTGGATTTTAAGTGAATGTTGGAAGAGCATCAACCGACTACTGAACAATAAACAAATATGGCACCCACGCTGATTGCTTACACAGCTAAGCACCTTCGTACCTAATTTTTTAATTTGTCATATTTATAATTTTCATATATATTTTCAATTTTTATACAGTACCTCGATTATCTGACTTATCGACTTTTCCGACATAGGTCAAGTAATTCAAGTGTGTTTGTATATTTTTCCCACTACATGGATAGATCAAGACTATTTTGTGTTAATCCCGACTCAATCCAGATTAACAGAAATAAGTCCAGAGCGGTTTGCCAGTCCAGATTAGAGGGTTTTACTTATAAAACTATAAAATAAGAAAAATGAAGAGCACAGGTATGATGTGTGGTTAGTGAATGTGTATGGAAACAACAGTGGGCTATAACTACGGTACGTGGCTGTGCTCCCTCCCGATATGACATCACGGCATACACACGGCCAGCACGGCAGACACATGTCTGTGAATCAGCTGGTTGACTGCCTGAACTGTCATATTGCTCAGAGGAAGGTTTGAGTGTGCAAAGAGCTATTTTTTGTACATAAAATATGCTATTGTATTTTACAATTTTATTTTCTATCATGGCAAAAAATGTGGCAGCTCATCCCCGTTTCATGCGGTATTTAGTCTTACAATTCTCGCAGATTATGGTGGAATTTTTATTATCATTTAATTTTGGTACCAGTTAGTTGACTCTATCGGTTGCCTGGATACCAGATAACTGGGATTCTATTGTATTCCCCTAAATAAATATACTATCCAGCATTATACAAACAGTATGTTCTGCAGTTCATGTGATCCAAATGCAAAATCCATGAAACATCAAGTAAAAATAGAAGGCAGTTCACAAAGACTTGGATGAATGTCTTATAGGAAATATTTTCCTTACTGATCAAATTCATCTTTTATGTATAAGTGGTATAACAGGCTACCAGATAAGAATCTATCCAGAAAATGGGGTTATGATAACATGAACTGTACATTATGTAACAGGATACACAAAAGCTAATAATCTGTACATCAAAATCATTCCATACACTGCATCCTTCCAAACTATTTTTTTTTTCATAAAATGTTCCAGAAGCTTTGCTACATGAACAAAATTAAATGTATGATTTTATTAATAATTACAGTACTTAGGTTACTGGAGAACATATGCTATAAATAAGCATATGCCCTATACTGTATACATAAAACCTGACAGAGGTTCACAATTGGGAAATGGCCAACAAATGCAATAAAAAACTTTTATCCCAGTACTCCTAGTAAGTGACATATGTATAAGATATTTTACTGTAAACATTGATGTTTCTAGCTCAATTCAGAATTATTGCATTTAATTATTACATCTAGTGTACTAGGATATATTGCATTTTGAAGACTATTTACAAATAACTGAAGGCGTCAAGCATACACTGTGAACTCCCACCATGCAATTCCACAGAAGCAATTAATCAAAGGAAATGAGCTCGGCTTGTTGATCTTGTGGAGTCGGTGGGTTGCTGGGTGGCAGCATTTGAGGCGTTCCATTGTTCATGTCATCAGGAACACTCGGGATTGGAGCAGGAGTTTGCATTGCGGGCTGACTGGGCATTGGTGGAGGTACCATGCCTGGACCAGCCTGCCCTGAGTTACCATGCTGTGGTGGATAACCAGGAACACCACCACCTACATTTGGTAAAGTGTTGGCTAGTCCTGCAAGACAATTTCAAAATCATAATTAGAGTCAACCAATATTCTGGTTTCTTTCCATGATCAATCAACTCTTCTTATGCTAATATTTGAGCTTGGACATGAAATAATTAGCAGGAGACATCTATAAAATTAAAAAATAATACTCATTTAATGGAATCAAATTATGCCACAGGGAACTACAGGTGTTATACAACAGTTTTGGTGTGGATACATTGCTGATGATTTCCTATATTGATTGTGATGAAGTAGCCTATGATAATATGCATGAAATAAGTGAAAAAAATTAGGTAACTTTTATTACCCTACAACGATGAGTGCTACTTATAGAGCCACATACAGTGAAGTATGAACCAAATATAACATGTTATCACAAACAGCACTCTAACTATAAATCTCAACACAACAAATGCCTATCAGTCACACTAATAAGCTTCAGGTGATGTGTATTCATAAGTAAAACTTTGAAGACGATTTCCCATAACCAACTTCCACGTAATTTAAATTTATTCCTCATACTTTCCTTCACAAATTTATCAAAACCTTTCTCAATATGGTGATTAATTTTATTTTGAATAATATTTGCTTGGAGCTGGGAACAAAAATTAATTCACTACACGTATTATATATTTATTATCCTGTCCAATATAATACAAAGGCAAAATAACCTTGGTAACTCCCATATAGATTATACACAAAAATTCACAGCCCATAGTTCATAAGACAAAATGACTGAAAAATCACTTGATAATTGCTAATATTTTGCAAAATTTTAATGGTTTTATTTTTATATTGTACAGGTTGACCATCAAAAATCCGGCAATCGATAAACCGGAACCTTCAGTTTTCCGGCATGGATTTCTGAGCGCATTTTCAAATATTTCTTTGTTTATTTAATGAAGATACATGTTTTAGCCCATAAAATTCATACAAATTACCCGGCCAGAATATAATTTACATTGCTGGAATTCTTACAATTTGATGATCATTTTGAATATAAACATCATAGATTTTGCATTAGACATACAAATTTTAGATACAATGTTTACTCTGAGTAAATATGTTATCTTTTGTGCAAAATATATGACATTTATATTCAAAATATTCCTGGTCTTACAAGGACTCCAGCAATGTCAATTATATTATCCTAACTTCAGTCTGAGGTATTATTTATTACTAAAAAGGTAAATAGTCTGGTTTTCCCACACATTTATCTGGTAGGGAGGGTTGGTGGGGGGTGGGGGGGGGAGGGAGGGACCATCTGGCACGGTGTGAAGAATATTTTTTTTTTATTAACTGAAGATATTTGTTTTAGCTCATAAAATTCATACAAATTACCCGGCCAGAATATAATTTACATTGTTGGAATTCTTACAATTTGATGATCATTTTGAATATAAACATCATAGATTTTGCATTAGACATACAAATTTTAGATATAATGTTTACTCTGAATAAATATGTTATCTTTTGTGCAAAATATATGACATTTATATTCAAAATATTCCTGGTCTTACAAGGAATCCAGCAATGTCAATTATATTATCCTAACTTTAGTTTGAGGTATTATTTATTACTAAAAGTTAAAATTAGTTTTTTCACCCAACATTTCTCTGGTAGGGGTGGGGGGTGGCGGGAGGGTTGGGACCGACCGACCGACCGACCATCTAGCGCGGTTGGAAGAGGGGGGAGGAAAGTTGGGGTACTTTGATTGACAGATAGTGTCGTGAAGAATATTTTTTTTTTTATTAACTGAAGATATTTGTTTTAGCTCATAAAATTCATACAAATTACCCGGTCAGAATATAATTTACATTGCTGGAATTCTTACAATTTGATGAACATTTTGAATATAAACATCATAGATTTTGCATTAGACATACAAATTTTAGATATAATGTTTACTCTGAGTAAATATGTTATCTTTTGTGCAAAATATATGACATTTATATTCAAAATATTCCTGGTCTTACAAGGAATCCAGCAATGTCAATTATATTATCCTAACTTAAGTGTTTAATTTTCTTTGTTTAAAGGACTGTACAGGTAGTCATTTTCTGTTAAACTTATACAGCAAATATAACCATCAGTTTTCCGGCATTTTCGAAAATCCGGCACTCCTCAGGTCCCGAGGTTGCCGGATTTTTACATATAATATAATTGATTCAAATTTTGTCACCATATGCTATATGGTGACATCCTCTAAGGGGAGGGTCTGGCTGAAGCACGAAATTTTTTAATAATTGATCAATCAATATCAATTTCCTGTTAGCAATTACTATACCCCTGAATCGGTACTGCCTAATCCCTGAACTCACTTTCCCTTATATTCTCATCAATTTTCAAAATCCTACTTCTCCATAACTTCTTGCTAAATTACGTTGAAATTCATGTGAAATATATGTACAGTAATTTGCTCTTCTTGAACGTAACATATAGACATTTTTTATTATCACTTTTGTATTGGGTGCATGAATTTTTTTCCTAACTTAAAAGTTGTTCCCCTAAATATATATAAAGGTAAATCAACAAATAGTAAGTCAAGCCAAATATAAAGAAAATCTATATGTTACGCTAAGTACAGTACAGTATGTTATTCTACCACTTAGTTTTAGTAGAATCGACCCATAAATGGCTGAGCCTTAGGGATTTGAAGGTTAGAAAAACTCGTTCTGATATAAGGGCCGATAAAGGGGGTGTGAGAGCAACTCACGAACGTACCTCACCCTCACATGTTTGATGGGTCACTGACTCTTATGAAAGTGGTCTCCTGCGGTTAGCGAGCTGAGAAAGGTGCCAAATACTTATTTTTACCAAGTTATTGGTATTACTTTATACCAAAATATTATTATAATTACTTTTCTACAGATTTTCTTATGTAAACAGAAGAGCCCTCTAAATGAAAGGGGGTAGAACAATCATACATAGCTACATAGATATTACAAATTATGCAATAAAAATGTCAGCATATAGCCATAGGCAACAGGTTTCCTCAGGAATTGTTCTGAATATTTTCGTAATTTTCGATTTTCATCATATTTTCAGCCGGACGCTCCCCTTAAACCAATTAACTAGTAAGTAAGAAGTTACCAAGTTGTAATCTTTCTACATTACCTTGTATATTGTATGGAGAAAACTCAGGTGGTGGTGGCTGGTACCCTGGCTGGGAACCTGGTGGGGCAGATCCTGGTCCCACAGGCATAACACATCCAGGAGGTCCAGGGGGATGTTGGTACTGAGGTTGGCCAGGGGGAGGCTGGAAGGACATGGAATTTGGTGGTGCACCACCCTGTGGCATTCCTCCTTGAGGTGGTCCCCCTTGAGGTGCAGCACCTTCAGGCTGTGGGGGGAACATGTGTCCTGGCATAGGACCTGGAGCACCTGGATATGCAGGATAACCAACAGGGTACATGGAACTTGGTGCACCAATAGTTGATCCTTTGTTAAATATTTCCCGTTCACTCTCAGCCATACGATGGAGGGCCAGCTGCCGTTGGTATTCTAGGTATTCTTGCTTCTTCTTTCTCATAATTTCCAACTTCTGCATCATCTGCATTTGCCTAAAATATAATAATCAAACATATCACATTTATACTGTATTCCAATTACAGGATTTCTTCGATTTACGAAATATATACGTTCCTGAAATGCTCTGGTAACATATATGTCTTGGTGAGAACAAGAAAAATATTAAAAAATTTCAGCAACATCCTCCAACATGCTACGTGTTAGAGGAGGAGTTGACGTTTCAAAGCTTGTTTATCATGCTCATGTTCCTTTTATGATCTTTATGTTACTAGTGCATTTCACAAGCTAATTTTTGCTTCCTCAAGTGTTGAAATTATCAGAGATCAACACAGAATAGCTATCACCCCTTAAAATATCAAAGTATAAATATGACAGATTAAATACTAAAGAACTGTAGTGACTTTCCCTGTGTCCATCAGCCAGCCAATCAGCTGCCGTGCTACAAATTGACCTTAGGCCTCAGTTGCAAGATTTGAGCAAAAGACTATAGGTGTCAAATACAGTACTAAATCCTCAGAGGTCACTTAAACCTAGGGGACTGCCAGCCCAGTGCAATAAACAATTCACTGTACTGTACTAAAATTATTATTATTACTAACCAAATGGATAATATTAGTTAGCTACTTTTGCAATGCTACTATATTCCTTAACCATTTACCTTATTCGCTCTTGTTCTTCTCTTTCACGTCTTACACGGTCACGGTGTTCTTCCCGAAGAGCCTCCAATGCTGCTCGAGCATCACGAACTTGAGAGATTTTATCTTGCAGTCGTTCAAAATTCACTGAAAAGAAGGTATGACTATGATATGATTATAACAAACTCTATGGTCTGATTGTCTCATACAACTGTACCTGTACCTTTAAGATATAAGTCCCAGCAGTGAAAGCTTTCAAAACGAATCTATATTGCTTCTCCATTATCTGAGTACTGTATCATAATTCCATGATAATTCAAGTCTAACCTCAGAGTTGGAATCAAAACTTTTTTTTTTATGGGGAATAGCCCACCAGAGCACAGGTCATCGACCCACAACAGGGCCTAGGGGTGAAAAATAAGAGCAAAAGGAAATTAAAAATAGATTATATTAATCTACACCATGAAGATACCGGAAAACCAGCTTTTAGAAGTGACCCAGATTATATGAGTATGGAAACAGAAGAAGGCAAAGCATTCCACAGTTTTACTGTGTGAAGAAAGAAGGATGTACTATAATGGGTTATTCTAGTGTGACTGACATCCACAGAGAAACGGTGGGCACCGTGGGCAAAACGAGTGTTATGAGCCCACGACCTTGCCGGCGGAACACAGGATGCCAAATCCACTGAATATTGCCCGGTACTAAAAAAGTTTGTGTAAATTTTCCATTACACAAACTAAAATTTTCATGAAAATACTTTCTATGTAAGTTTAAAGTCTCATGTACTCTTAACTCTTTAGCATAACCTCCTCTGCTCTGTACTCATGTTTCAACTAGAGGTGTGTTTTAATCCATTGGGTTTTTTTAAATACAGTATAGTGAAACCTCATTGAGCTGTATTTTTTTAATTCTGTGCAGCCTCTTTCACTTCCAACTGTTTCAGTCAGCATTGTTAATCCAACCTCTCCGTGTGGTGTGAACCCCGCGAGATCCGAAGCATTCACGAGCGAGGGAGGCCGGAATGACTGGGGCTGGTGTGTGAATATGTGGCAAGGTAATACAAGGGTTGAGGTGGGTTAGTGTGTTGGGGGGCTGGAGGGATGGGAGAGAGTAAAGCAGTTATCTGTGCAGTTACAGCACAGGATACAATAAGTAAGGATATAAATACGTAGAGCAATTACACAAATTATTAATAGAATTGAGGAGCTTTGGACAATAATCAGCCAAGTACCAAAATAGAAAATGGAGGAAAATGCTCAGGGAGGAATGTGTGACATACAATATCTTTTCAGAGGACTCTCACCCACATGTACAGGTTTCCAATTAGATCTCTGACTTACCCAGGGGACAGAGGAGAGATTGGGGATTCTGGGGAATACATTGCTATACATAACACATTTCAGCGACATATGGCTCTTAGCAGATTATGGTCTGAAGCTCCTCAATTTGTTACCGCGCATTAGGGAGGTACAGTAAGACCCCCTAAATCAGACTTCCATTAGTCGGAAGCTCCCATTAATCGGACTAGGATCTGTGGGTCTGCCATCACTCACTCTACACCTCAAAGTCCATGCAAGATGCATAGTTTAGAGTCTCGGAAAACTTTCCCCAGCACCCACAAACTTTCCTGTAATGTGCGATATAGTCTGTCCATATGAGATACATAGTTTAGACTCTCAGAAAACTTTCCTGAATACGGTCAGTCCTTTACTTACGACGGGGTTAGGGACCGACGACCAGGTCGTAAGTCAAATTGGTCATAAGTCGAAAATGCGAAAATAATACATAGAAAATCTAAAATAGGTGTCTCTTTTTCTTCTCAGCACCAATAGAACTCTCACGTTTATGTTTGCTAGCCATTTTAAAGGGAATTAAAAAAAAAATTTTGTCAGTACACAGCGCGATCACTAACGTCGAGATTTGAAAATACGTAATTTGAAAAATATTTTACACAGCTGCGGCGGTCATATGTCTGGGTGATCGTAAGTCGAGTCGGTCGTAAGTTGAGGAGTAGCTGGAAATTTTCCAGGGATGTGTAATTTTTTTCAAAGAAGAGAAAATTTGTCTCCATAATGTACACCAATTCCCCCATTAACACAGTTTCAGTCAACGTCATTCCATTATAACTTTGTTGAAAAAAAAAAGTGTATGAAAATGATATATGTACGACAATTTAAAAAAATTCAGTACGAAGGTGTTCAGTGCCTGATTGTGATAAGAGTTGGCTGTGTAAGTGACCAATGTGGGTGCCATACTTGTTCGTTGTTGTTCGGCAGTTGGTTGATGCTCTTCCAATATTCACTTAAAATCCAATTATAAAATTATCTGAACCCTCGAACTTTGAATACTAAACATGCATTATTCACCACTACTGGCTGTGGTTATAAAAAGAAGAAGTTAAATTAGATGTGGTAAAGAAATTTGAAGAAGGACAGTGAGCTGTGGACATACTAAGAGCTGTCAGTTTGCAGCCTAAAAATGTAGGCAAGAACAATTTGTGGAGATGCAAAAAATATCAGTCATGCGCTAAAAGCGTTACTCTATTATCTGCTACAAAGTTAGCTTGTAACAGAAGTGGCATTATGGAAAATATGGAAGGAAAGCTGAACATGTGGATCAAGGATCAACATCAACAAAACTTTCCATGTTTGTTGCTCTCCATACAAGCAAAAGCACTCAGTTTATTTAAAACTTTAAAACAAAAAGGTGATAGTGCTGAAAGTGAAACATTTGTGGCAAGTTGTGAAAACATTTTGACCAGAAATATACCAAAGGAACATAACCCCTATTTATATCATTGTGTCTATGGTAAAAGTTTTCACTTTAAGTTGTGGTTTTCAGGAACCTAACAAAGACGTTAATGGGGAATTGGTGTACCTGTAAATCTCTCATTCCCAAAAGAGCTCTGCACAAATTATTCCAGCTAAAGGATATATCACTGTTTTATGCAGATAAATGCATAAATGCATAAATATAAAATTACATATACTGTACCTACTGTACATAAGCTAAAGCATCCAAAATTATTATTTCCTTTCCTTAATAAAGTTTCCCATCTCATAAGTACTTCAAAAATAATACACCATGGTTCAACAATACACCATGACTCAACAATACACCATGGTTTAATAATACACCATGGTTTAATAATACACCATGACTCAACAATACACCATGGTTTAATAATACACCTTGGTTCAATAATACACCATGGTTTAATAATGCACCATGACTCAATAATACACCATGGTTTAATAATGCACCATGACTCAATAACACACCATGACTCAACACAAAAATACAGGTACCTCGGTTCTAAAACTTACCTCTTTTGTCATCCTGCTGGTGTATGTATTTCAAAAGCTGTGCATGCATGGCTGTAATGTTCATGAAGAGCGTTTGCACAGAAGTGTCATTTGCTATAGGTCTTCCACGACTTTGATTACTCTTCATTCGATTCACAAATATTTCCAGCTGAGTACGTAAAGTGGACACAAACTCATCAACTTCCTCAGTCTCCCCATTTTGGTAGCTTTCCATCATCTTGATTGGCTCTAGTTTGGATGGTGAGAGTAGAGTCTTGTTACCAGAAGTGGGGGCTGATGGTTGTGTTGGGGAGAGAGTGTGGCCTGGATCCTCCTGTGTTTGTGACTGTTTCTGCTGTTCAGGCTGCTGTTGTTGTTGTTGCTGCTGCTGCTGCTGCTGCTGCTGCTCCCAATAAGACCTGTTCAGGTAACTGTCAAATAAGGGAATAAAAACTTTTAATAAACAGTTTTAGAAGGTAAAGTGTATTATGTAACTTACAAATATGTACAGTACAGTAACTAAAAATAAAAATTAAAACTATAAAGTCAGTTAGAGAATTTATTTATTTTCTAAACAATATGGAGGCATCTGGTACCATGACTCAAGTTAGAAACCATCACACAGTGTCCTTAATTATAAATTTGACAATACTGTACTACCATAACTAATAATTACAAAAATTAAAGTTTATAAATCTAACCGGGCAAGTTCAGGATCCATGTCCTCCTTGTCCTGGGCACCCTGAGGAACTGGGGAGGCTGGTGTAGGTGATGGCTGTCGCCAATTACCACCCAACAAACTTGATGTTGCACGAAGCTTCTATAAATTCATGAACTTATTAACAGAAATATTTCTAGGACAGAGCTAAGAGGTAATTAAAAGATTATCAAATACAGTAAACATTCACATTCTGCACCAACTAAAGAAAAGCCTACGTGAAATTCAGTAAACCCTCTCACTAAAACAATGTCTTAATACCAGATAATGCATTCCCAATAATAGAATTCTTGTCTGGTATAATTAGCAGCCTCAACCAGTAATATCCAGTTATGTGAACACTGTCCTCTACCACAAGGTCAGTTAGTACATGTTAGAGCTTCCTAGACTAAGTACAGTTGAACATGCCAGACAATTTGTAGTGTACTAATTTATATCTATGTATCTTACCACATGGTGGGTTTATATGTATTGAAAATAGTAATTTAGTTCATAGTATATATATATATTTTTTTAATAAAATGCTTACAGTAAATACTGTATTACTTTTGTGTGATTTAACTAAGACAAGCTTGTTGTGGTGTACGATACATATGCTACCTGTCTAAGACTTGTAAACAGTACAATTAATAAACAATAATATTCTGTGGGTCTGTAGTACGGTGAAGTACAATCAAATAATAATAAGGTAAAGGTGGAGAAGACAGTTAGCACCACGAGCAACTAATGGAATTGAACCCAAATTTCTGTAGATACTATTCGCATGATACGGAACACGAAAATGGAAGCGAGGATGCACAGAACCTATTAGAATCTGATCAAACCGACCTAACCTCACCTAACTTCCAAACCTATACATTTTCGTTTTGATTTTCTTACTTTCACCCAAACAACATCTCTAGAAAAAATTAATGAATTCAATCCAATATAAATTGTAATAAAAAAGCCCAATGAGATTGTTGCTCATTTCTTTAAATGTATACAAAGACTGCAGACTCTCCCATATAGAAGATGATGTAAACTAAACCAAAGGACATAGACATGAAATTAATGCCATATGCTCATTGTTCAGTGTTTTTACCCCTTTATTTCCCTCTTCTTTCATGCCTGGCCCACCCACTAACAAATAAGCATATGTTTATATATATACAAATAAAAAATAAATAAAAAAAAAACCTACCATGTTGTCAACTTCATTTTATTTCTCCGTATCATCCAAACAACATCTGAAAATTTGGTACAATTCCATAAAGTCCCTCTGGAGCTATCGGTGTCCTCCAACGTTTACCAATAATAGTAAAACATTGATAATATTAATAATTACAATAAAATAAATCAACAAAAACAATTGGTAACCCGTGTTCTGTTCATCTTAGACATGTATATACATATACACTAGAGCTTACATAAGGTATTCACTAATACAGTACAGTACTACTGTACTATACAGGTATTCCCTCCAACACATTTGTCAATATATTTTATAAATTACAGTACCATTTTCATATTAAACAAAGAGGCCTTAAAACATAAAAAAAAATCATACTGGCATACAGTATATATCATTAACAGTAGTGGTAATGGAGTGTTCTGTTCATCTCACACAAATTAAGCATAAGCACACCCGAGTACACAAGGTACAGTAGCTACACACACTAATATTCCTGCCAACAATTATTAAAATATTGATTAATATATTTCACAAATTATTATTTTCAATACAATCCTACCAGATATCAAGAAACTTAAAATACTATATCGCTGTACAGGTATACAAAAATCTTCTTATACGAATTTGGGTCCGGGCAAAAAATTCAGATTTCAAACCCCGGGAGTTAACTGGCATTGCCATCTTTGAGAGCCATGCACAGAGTAAGGTCCTTACTCAGGGCACCTCTGTTCACCCTCTTGTGGTACTAAGTCCAAACTGCTCTCCCATAAGGTAATGTACCAAAGTTATACCATACAGTATTTTCTTAATTTATTTCATGTGTGTGTGCGTGTGTACAGATTGTGGGAGGGGCAGGCAGAGGAGCAGTGAAGGAGGTGTGGTGTTGGTGATATCCTCCCTCTATTGGGCCAAGCTGTGAGATGCATTATTGCTATTTTTCAACACGTATTTTCAGGTAAATGTACGTAATTTTCTTCTTCTTTTTTTTTTTTTACTGTTACACGTGCACAAAATGTTCATACAGAATGTGAAAAAAAAGGGTAAAAATAATTATCATAAGGTAAAAAAATATAAAGGTACTAAACATTTATTACGTGAATGGCAGAAAGCACTGAGGGAGGGAGGGAGGGAGGGAGGGAGGGAGGGAGGGAGCGATCTGCTGGCATTTCCTCACCCTCACTCACAGTTCCGCATCTCCTGCCAAATGGCAACGTAGTATTTTTTCTTTTATTTATCATTATTACCATGATTTTAATTATTCCCCACATTTACTGGCAGAGTATATATTATTTTATATTCAAAGAATAAGTTTTGCCACATGCAATCCTCCCATCATACGTGTTATGCTCTCTTGTAAGGTAATGTACCAAAGTTAAACAGCCTTTTATTAATTATTTCATGTGTTAGGTAGTAGATTAGAGTAGTTGTGTACTAGCTATCATTAGTTAGATTGGTTTTGTTCTTGTTTGTGAACCGATTTTGTGTTTTGGGGATATGAGACTGAGGTATTTTTGTCATTGGGAATCCAAATATTTTTTTTTACATGTTCATTAACGAGAGCCTCGGTTAACGAGATTTCGGTTAACGAGTTACCTTCCATAAGATTCTTAACTTTGGTTAACGAGCAATCCCTCGATTAACGAGTTTTTTACGAGCCGACCTCAACATGTTTTCGCTTGCATTTGGCGGTCCACCAGCTGTAGTATTAATCCGCCAATACAGTAATCGGTTTTAGGGCTTAAATTCCTTAATATTTTAGTAAATATCAAGAAGTTTATACTATTCATTAATTTTAAAAGTTTAATATTAACTTTTTTAGTCATTTTAACAATTATTGAACATAATTGAAGGTAAGGAAACTAGTTGCATGCGCGTCATCCAGCCTGGCAACACACCAAACAGGCGTCAGTCTCTCTGTCTTTTCAGTGGAGGTAACATCTTGCTTAAGACTCTCTTCAACTAAACGCTTTTTTCTGTGTTTGCAAGCAAATTATTGGTAATTTTAAATTTATTTTACATATTGACAATACATAATGCAGTGCAGTGTTGATTGAAAGAAAATAATCTTGAATTACACCAAGAGAATTAAAATTTTATGGGTGAAATGGCGCCATGGGGTGACTTCTCCTCCACTCCTATTCTAATTCCCATCATCATCATCATCATCCAGGAGCCTTCTACAAACACACCTCAAAGCAAAGTAAGTGTACTTTTCTACCTTTTTTGTCGAATTTAGGCAATTTTCGGTGAGCTGGAACCAATTACCCAAAAACCCATTGAAACAATGGTTTCGGTTAACGAGCAACCTGCTGGAACGGATTGTGCTCGTTAACCGAGGGACCACTGTATTCGAGATACAAAAATGAACCTAACCCATTGCTATCTCGAGTGATACCTGTACATTTCATATAAGGTACTTAGATAAGAATTCCACAACAGACACATTTTACTAGAGCTTGCCAAAGTACTGTATCAGCATTACATTTCTGGCCTAGAGGAGAAAACATCTTGAAAGACGAGGAAGCTAAGAGACTGTGTCACTAAATAACAAAATAGTAACTTCTTTCTGTTTGAATATGTAAATAAAACAATGGTCTTCAGGGTGCAGTTGATCATGCCCCGGCAGGTAGAAGGAGATGCTGCAAACGTGTGTTGATACATTATAGTTTACTCTTGAGCACTCTTGGCAAAGGTTACAAGTTAATGAGGCCAATGGATGGAGGTCAAGTCCGATAGAAATCATGGTTTCAGGATGGTTTAAATCACCAACAAAATGATTAAAGCATTAAGTATGATATTTTCTTTTGGTGGCCTGTGATCTCTGAGACTATGGTATTAAACCACTATTGAAAGATAACAAAACAAAACTAACAAAACTTAACTTAAAACAATAAGCCAAGACAGCTAAGTTATGTTAGTTAAGGTTAGTTTGGTTTGTCATCTTTCATTACTAAATGGTTAAACCCGATAACTGCGACATACATTCTTGAATGATAAGCAGAGGAGTGTAACATACATTCTGGAATTCAGAGCGTCTTGAAAGCAGCTCGCAAAAAATTTCTTATCTCGCAGGGTCAAGTATGTGATATTAACACTCGCCAGTTGTCCCAATGGGTAATCCTCCTATCCAAGCAGCTGATGACACAATCATATCTTGGTAACGATAGTCAAGACGTGTGTCCTTGCCCCATCAGCCCCAAACCCACGGACTTCACAAATTCACCACAGCCAAACTAAGGCTTTTATATTTTACGGGGATTAGCCCACCCAGACACAGGGTTAACAGCACCTTTGCTTTATATAAGTATTCACCCAAATGAAAAACACCAACTTATTCAACAATGACTCAACCTGTTGACGATAATAAATGGCTGAGCTTGTATCTATCTCAAGAGGTCGAGCGCAGGTCAGCTGATTAATCAAACCACCAGCTGAGCCTCTCACGCCCAGATCAGGGAAGAACACGTCACTCAAGTGTTCTCTCAAAGTGCATTCACAACACTTCCCAGGAGAGAATTCATAATTTATTCTTTCAGATTATTACTGTGTATATAACTGCTTCGACAATAAAAGAAAAACAGCAAGAAGTGTTTACATCAAGCCCTGCTACTTAAAAGAGTTCCAGAACTTAATTAAGACAATTAAAGTGACACCAAAACATCAGGGCCTGGGGGGTGAAAATATAATGATGATGATGATGATGATGATGATGCTAATAATAATAATAATAATAATAATGTAATAATAATATATATTTTTGTAAATATGGAAAGATACAAAATTTAATAAAAAGTAAAATAAAATAATATTAATAAAATAATGTATATACAATAATGAAAAAAAAGAACAATAGTGAGAAATCAATAATAAATGTATGTTGTGTTGTCAACAGTACGGAAAACAATTGAGACCCTGCAATTGTGTATAAATG